GGGCATCCTCACACTCAGGTGGGAACCACACTGCTAGTTCCCAGGAGAGCTCGCTGAGATGTGGAACACTGCAGCTTTAACAGCCCCATCCAGGTGTCCAACCAGATATTCCTTTTGTTTTTTTTTTTTTATCATAAATTATCCAAAAAAGAAGATCACTCTAAATAATAAATTAAATATTACTTATAAAAAGTACACCCCATCCCCACCCTCCCACCCCCAAACAAGGTGACAATTCACAAAGGTCAGAATTGTCAGCTCTACCTTACAATAATAAAAACAACCTTGCTCCTTCTCCTCCTCTTCCTCCTCCTCCTCCTCTCCCCAACATTGCTTGCTTGCATTTGAAAGTACATGTACAGCATCAGTGAGATCCATCAGCCCCATGACATTTTGCTCATGACGTTAGGCTGCCTGTGATTGCTGCTATCCAGTCCAGCCAAAAGTAAAATGAAACAAATTGGAATGACAATGATTAAATGAATGGTCTCTACTGAGAGCAAGGGGACAGAAAGCCTTCAGAGAGCACACCAGAAGTCAGACCTGGCAAAAATTAGTCACCAGAGATGGAGACATAAGAGACCCCAGAATGGAAGCAATAATATTGAATTGCTTTTCTGGGCATGGGCTTTGTCTCCTGTATAGCTTCACTCGGCACAGAATACCCTGGCATTCTATTTCAGAAGCAATACATTTTGAAATTGAATATTTGGATAGCAAAGTATTTTGATCCATGGATACAAGTGCTTTGGGATGCAATGGAATATGACAGCACTGGGTGCCCTACCTGTGGCTTTCCAAAATATTACATTTGAGACTTTAATATTGGGCTCACTGGATGAAAGCTTTCCAATGCAATATGAAAGTCACTTCTGCAAGTCAACATAGTAATACCAACTGTCAACAGCTATGCAACATATTGTTCTAGAAATGATAACAAAGAAATTCCTGTGCAGATTTGATTTTATGAACTGCTTTTGGGTCTCTAGTATTTTGTGAGCTCTCTTTAGCATTGGCAATAGGCAGAGGCAGAATATTAATCTGGGCATCTCAGTAATGAGGGAGTCATGAAATGGTTTAGGATAAAAGCAGGGGACTAGACCCTGCTTCAGATCCATCTGGAAGGTCATGAAGGTTGACTTTTGTTGTAAAACAACAAAAAAGGCAAAAAGAAAACCAAAAACATATGGATACAGCTGTGAGGCTGTGCACTGTCTTCTTTTTCCTGCCTTGTTCATAAAGTACAAGTGGACACACTGCAGGGAATGCTAAATTTGGACTCCTTTTTTTATTCAGGCAGGACTTTGGAGGCAGCCTGGTTTTCTGGGAATTGCAACCCAGTTGCCATCTTAGCACTCCTCTATTAAGTTGTAGCAAGAGTTTGGAAGCCCATTCTGTTGCATCCAACCGAATGAGCCAATATCAAGAAAAGGCAGTAGCAGCCTCCTGGGCCCACTCAGTGGGTCCCCTGTACTGCGGGACCTTGATTAGAAAAGCAAAGAACCAAGCTATGTGGTCCTGAATGTTGACTATGAACTCTGAGTTCAAGCTAAGTGGCTATTGTCATGAAGGTAAAAATTCCATTTGTTTTCACCAGGGCAAGCCACCAAACAGCCCATTGATATGAATTACAATTTACTTAAAGGGACTAGCAGATTCCATTTCCACCACAAGACATTGTAGCCATTATAAATTCACCTCTTAGGGTCCTAAGCTGAGTTGTTTTCCTCAAATTTATTAGGGTTTAAAGTTATGGTGCATAAAGTTCTTTCTGACTAACTACTGATTGTATGTTACTTAAAGATGAAGTTCCAGTGTATTCTTTAAATATGTCAGTAGAATATGTTTCTGTTGTATGAACAGAAGCACTATAGCTGGGTAGATACTGAATGTACACAAAGAACTATTTAACTTTTGGCTACCATACCACTGGAAAGCACTTTACTTATTTTGAGCTCTCTATATTTGCTTGTCTCTGACATATATAGAAGTTTCTTGGGAAAACCTTTCCTATCAGGTAAAAATAGGAAAGAAAAATAACTCCTCTCCTCAGAAATAGGTGCTTGCCTGATAGTTTGACTTCTGTGAATGTGGGGTTAAAGGGCACATTGCCAAGCTGTATTTAAGTCCCAGTGCTGGAGTATCTGGTTTAGCTGTCAAGTGGAACCCTATGGGACTCAAGAGATTTATGAGTTTGAAAAATCTGACACTGCCTAAACTCATTTGGGAGCTGGAGCAAAACAGAGGTCACTTCCACCATTCACAGGTTACTTCTTGTCAAGAGATTAGGGGACTGGGAAAATTAAAGAGTTACCTGAAAACCCTGAGTAGGTAAGCTGTAGCCTTCCAGGAACAGTTTGGGGAACCACAGTTCTACATATGCTACATCAGCCATATGGATTTGGGGCTTAAAGAACTTGTATCTCATGGTCATATTCTTTGACTTGTCCTCTACACTAAGGCTTGGCACGGACACTTATTTTACCACTGTTTAGTGAGACTTTACCACTACCACAAAAACATTTTAATGTTAAAAAAAAAAAGGACCAAGAACATTTAGAAAACACAAGGCCTCTGAAACAAATTCTCCAAACTGTCTTCCATATCCAGAACTCATCCAAAACCAAATCAAAATGATCTGAATTGTTCTAACATTCCCATCTCATTTCCAAAGATGACAGGCCTGGATTGGAAGTACTGAGAATTTTTATGAAGATCCTAGCCAGTTCTCTTGAACTGCTTATGTTCATCTGACATAGTAGATAGCTAAATGCCTTGGATTCAAGATATAGGGACCAAATGAACCTTGAAGACTGAAGACATCATCTCGGGGGGATTAGGTACCTTTAAAGTCATACTGCTATGCTATGACTTTAAAAGGAAGGCTGTCCCTGGGGAGTAAGGGACTCTATTAAGGACATAAGGTGTCCCTATTATTATCTTTATATCAAAGTGGTTGGTTGATTCTGAAGAGACTGAATGCTAGCATGGGGAATGCCCCACTCCAAAGGGCCAGACTTCCAGAATCCCAAATGCCCCTGATGTCCAACAAAAATAGGAGCAAATGCCCTCATACAGGTAAGACTACATAATTCTTAAGAAGGACTTAAATAAAAGTTTAGCAAATTGAAAAACAACCAGCACTCTTGTTGAAGGAACAATTTCATAGAAGGACCAGATTTTCTAATGAATGATCTGAATGAGCTCTTTCTTTGACATCAGATTTCCTTCCTGATGTAAAACTGTAAAAAAATAATCTGAATTATTACTTCTGTTACGTTGCCATTTTGCTCAAAATATTTCATTCAGGGATTCATATATAATTACCCACCTAATAAAAGGAGCTATTAGGTTGTAAAGATCCTATCCATTCCATGCTCTTTTAAAATTATGACCCACTCAAGCTTGAAATCAAAGGCAGAGCTGAATGGAATAATTCAGCTGAAACTTTCTTATTGGGTTTTGCTGTCTCCTAACTGATAAATATGCAAATTAGCTCCCTTTTGGTGATTCAGCTGCATAAACAGGGATTAACTCTGAATACCAGCTGAAAATTCAGCAACTGAAAGTGTACACACAAAATGTTCTTAATTCAACCAGTTAAAAGGTGTTGATAAACACGGTAATATAAAGTTAAAATTCTAGCAGAGAATGAAGATGCCACTTGGAAACCCCTCCTGAATCATGAGACACAACTTTGAGAAAGATCCATTGGGTTTATGAAGTTTCATAAGTGTCAAATGGGGCCTTTCCCTCTGCTCCCTGACAGCCTGGAGCTCATCACAGCAATAGGCCTCAGTGGTCACCACTGGCCAATGTGTGGCCGGGTCCAGTTGTCTCAGTGACCTGTCAGGAGAATCAGGAAGGGCCCAAGGATGCAGTCCTCTTGAGCGAAGAACTCTGCCTTCGCTTCCTTCCTGTCTGCTCTTCAACAGTTTGCTGTTTCTTACAAGAAGTGAAGAGATCACCGGTGTCCTTGCCAGGCAGATTATGAAGTCAGCCATCTTTTGTGGAGGACAGAGTCTCTGGGGAAGAGGGAAGGCCTTCAGTCCTGCCTGGGCGCCTGAAGAAGGATGGCCTTGGTGAAGCTTTGAAATGTCATCACAGTGTGGTATGGCCCCAAAGCCACCCATGTTGAAAAGTGTTCTAATACAAGCTTAAGCTCATAATTACTGTGTGTCTGAGAAGATTGCATATTGTATCCTCTTTCCAAAAATGCACTGTAGCTGGCAGGATGCCACCCATTGCAGATTTTTTATGTTTCTATTCTCTGTTCTCCAGACATAAATGCTAACCAAGAGTGGATATACTTGAGGAAAATGGGTGAATTTTTATAGCCACTTGCTAATACCCACCACTTGTGCAAGATGAATGACTGAATTATAAAACAATAGGCATTCATTGTCTCTTTTGTTTTTGTTTATTTTTTTTTTGTGCTGTTGGGGAATACATCCAATCCTTTGGTGCTGTGTAGTAAGAATTTCCCAGGGGTGTTTTGTGGTTGAAAGTAAAAGACAAGTGATCTCCACTGATTTTACCATGACATAGAATAGGTTTAAATAATGCACTTGCATGTTGTAACACTAGACTGACACATTTAAAAAATAAAACAAAACAAAACAAAACCTACAGAACTGCAGGCCCTGATTATGGGAAACAGATGCATTATTTATGCGAATATAGTCACTATGTGTGGCTAGCTGATCAAAGCCAAAGGCCAGAGATACTCTAGAGACTTTAACTTTGATCTTGCTGTGAAACACTCCTTTGCTGTTGATGTTGTTGTTGTCTCCATTTTGAGAACTTTGAGATGCACAATGGGCACTAGGTGGGTGGCATCTACCTCTCCAAACCACTTGAGGATCTTCCTTTCACTAGACAGTACTGGGGATCAGGTGATGTGTTTTATGTGTGCAGGTGTTTGTGGGCACATCTTTCTGTGAATGAAATCCTGATATGCTGCATGGTCTTGGATAATCCATCTTCTCAATTCACAACTTTTAGAAGGCTGAGCCTGTGATGGCATTGAGTTGCTTCATTAGCCCTTCCAAACTTGCCATTTGTTCACTCAAATCGTCCTGCTCATATACCTGTGAAGAGAGAACGCAAGTCATCAGTGCATAGTAAGACCTGAAGGACTATGAGATATAGAAAGTCTAGTCCCAGGCAGTTAGCTCTGTGTCACTACAAAAGTACCTCATAGCCTTTTATCATAGGATCATAGATCCACAGACCTCAGAAACTATATAATTCAACCCCCTGGCATTGCAAATGAGAAAACCGAGACTCAGGAAGTTAAGTGACTTGTTCAAGGTCACCCAAGTAGGGGAGATTTGAATCCCAGGTCCTCTGACTTCTTCAGTCTTCTTTCCTTGGCACCATGCTGCCTCTCTTAGAAAAGTTTTAGTCAGGAAACTACCTAAAGCTACCACAGGTAGATACAATGTGATGAAAAAATCCTTAATTTTACATTTGTCCCTAAGTGAAATGGGATTTTGTAAAAAGTCCACAGGGAATCTTCAGAGGTTAGAGGGTCACTTTGGGTGGCTATAGCGAAAAGGACACATATCAGTTGGGGGTTAGGACCAGACCAGTGATGTCAAACTCAAATAGAAATTGGGGGCCACTAAACCATACATAAGGATCCCTGTGGGCTAAGTATTGACTTAAAAAACCATATATGAACATCACCTATGTTCTATTGTATTTTTATTTATTTTGTTAAACATTTCCCCAAATACAATTTAATCTGGTTCAGGCTACAGTGGGAGTGTCATGGACTACACTGTGGTTGTCCTGTTTTTGCCACCTCTGGGAACAGATGCCCTCTAAAACCCCTTCTAACTCTGATTTTATGATTCTACATTCAGTAGTATTTCACAGTAAAGATTTATATTTAATTTCTTTTCTTTTGGATACAATATGGGGCATTTTAATTTTAAATAGTTTGCCATTAAGCAAAATTGGCTCTCCCAGAGCTGGGAATGCTTATGGATAGAACTGTTGAATATCAACCTGTAGTAACTCACAATTCACCCTCATAGGATGGTCCCCTAGAGGGATGACTGCTACTTAGGTTCAAATATGGTCAGAGATTCTTCATTCCTAAAACTATATCTCATCAGTCACTACTGGTGAGCCTACTTTTAATAGCCAGCCCATAGATATAGGTAGCTGAAAGAAAAGGCATGCAAAATATTCCTCTTCCCCACCCCACCCTCTCCATAAACCTAGGATATCTATTTCCATAAATACATACAACATTAATTAGAAGACTGGTCATACCCATAAAGTAAATTGGTGATGAGGCTAACAAGGAACATATGTAGTTAAAACAACTCATGCCTCTGGTACCATAAGGTCCCAATATTCTTTATGTTCTTGGAGCATCCTCATTTTGTCTCCCTCCTACCCCCAGTTCAAGATGTCTTCAGGGCAGATCATTCACATGAGATCTCTGGGCCTGATGTTCTCTGTAGCTCAACTCCTACCTGCCAGGATGAATTTGTTCTTAAATATATAGCTGGCTCTCTTCTCTGCTGCCAAGGGTCACACTATTCAGAGCTGTCTCCATACACTGCCTCTATTTTGCCTTGATCCCTGACAGGTACAGTGTCTCTTAATAGGTAAATAGCTCTGCTACAAAGTGCCATGGGTTATGAAAGTGGGAGGATAGAAAAACTCCCTTCCTCTGATAGCTCAGGCAAGGATGCAAAGGGAAAGATAAAACATGATCTCCTCTAAAGAACCGGTAATTTGTTTTGTTTTGTTTATGTTTTTTTTTTCATAGCTGTCTCTCCTCTAGATTGTAGGCATCTAACTCCTTAAAGCTATTCCCTACCTTAACTTTGGAGAGTATGTCCTTTTTTTTTTTTTTTCCTTAAAGTCATCAATGGCATGACCCAGTCTTCACTATGGAAGGGCTAGTTATTCTCTATAATAAAAATAACTTCACACTTCATAAAAGGGTAACTGTCCATACTCTATACTTTATTTAACACAGAGACATCTTACTGTTTTTATTATTTGCCCCTTCCTGTGATTTTATCAACTAGAGAAAGTGTGTAGGGGTATCAAGTGAATAGGCCTATCTGATCAACTCCTTTCCTACCACAAATGTACTATGAATTTAGGACATGTCATCCTTCAACTGGACAGCTAGATAGTGCAGTGAATAGAGTGCTGGGCCTGGAGTCAGGAAGACTTATCTTTCTGAGTTTAATTCCTTCCTTAGAAATTAGCTGTGTAACCCTGGGCAAGTCACTTAACTCTGTTTACCTTTAGTTCCTCATTTGCAAAAAATGAGCTGGAGAAGGAAATGGCAAACCACTTCAGTATCTTTGCCAAGAAAACCCCAAATGAGATCAAGAGGAGTTGGACGTGCCTGAAACAACTCAATAACAACATTCTTCAATACTTTAAGGATATTCTTTTGATAGTATGGATATTTCCTTATTCCTTCCACTAATGCAGGTCACAAGTGCTTTATATAGATTTAGCATAGAGGTTCCTAGGATCTCTGTGGCTGAAAAATTCAACCTAGTATTGAGCTTGTTTGAATTTAGTTATGCTAATCCTCTGACAACAGACACAGTTTGTCATTTGACCAAAGGACAAGGTATAGGAAAGAATGAGAGAGAGAGAGAGAGAGAGAGAGAGAGAGAGAGAGAAAGAGAGAGAGAGATACAGATATAGATATAGATATGTAGATACAGATATAGATATATAACATTTATGATATACAAGATAATTTCACCTATAATCTTGTGACTTAAGTAAAACAAATATTAGGATTCCAGTACTCAGATCAACATTTTACAGAAAAAGAAGCTGAGGCATGGAGATAATGATCATACAATTGGTATTTGTTGAAAATGGAATTCAATTCCAGGTTTCTTGGTCTGAAATATGTTTTTTTTTTCCTACTTTGCCAGGAAATCTGTAGATATCTCCCAAATTCCCTAGGCAATGTTTAACTGAGCTGTTAAACTTCTAGCAGATGTTGAACATAATTTCTTCTGTTGAAATCAACTGTGAAGACTGAAATGTCTAGATAGACAGGCCACATGGTTATACTATAGGCATAATCTACTGGGAGATTCCTGGTTTTTCTAAATTAGGATTTGTCATTAACTAACTAACTGGTTGTATGACCCTGGGCAAGTCACTTCACCTCAATTTCTTCATCTGTAAAAAACAAGCTAGAGAACAAAATGGCAAATCACTGAAGTATCTTTGCCAAGAAAATATGACTGAAACAATTGAACAACAACAACAAAAGCTGTGATGTTGAGTCATCACGAACTCTCTGTGATTCCATTTCCTTCTCTGCAAAATGTCAAAAAACCCCAACATTGCCCTAATCATGAGTTGTGAGGATATTAATTTTAACATATCTAATCAATTAACAAACATTTATTAAATACCTACTATGTGCTGAGCACTTGGAGATACAAAAACAAGAGTAGAGAATCTCTACGCTCAAGGGATATTTACATTCCTTTGTGGAAAACAATTCATACACATAAAATCAAATATGAAATATACACAAAATTATAACAAGGTAATTTTTTTTGGGGGGGAACTGGCACCTATTGGGGAGGAATTAATAAAGCTCTGGAAGAAGACACAGTTGAGTTTGAATTTAAGATCCTCAATTTAATTGCTGTGAGCTCATAATCTATTGACCAGGCAATCTTTCACTAGATGGTCAATGACAGAATGTTGAGCAATGGAAGAGAATTTAGAGATTCTCTAGTTCAGTTTCTCTTTCTACAGTTGATGAAACTGAAGCTCACAGAAGTTAAGTAACTCAACCTTGGTCATATAGCTCTCTCAAATGGAAGAGCCAAGGCTCAAAACCCAATTTTTGAGGGGCAGCTGGAGAGAGAACTGGAGTTGGCTTCAAAAAGATGAGCTCAAATCTTGCCTCAGACTCTATGTGGCCATGGGCTAATCAAGTAACCTCTCAGCCTCAGTTTCCTCATTTGTGAAATGGGGAATAATGGGATGATGGTATAGCAACTCATGAAATCATCTACCTGAGCTACACTCACATAACTTAAGAGATAGAGCTTTTAAAATAATGAATTTTTATTTACATAGTTGATGTTCTTGAATGAAAAGTTATACCCATATTCATCGTTCCTGCAATGTCTCTGCTCTCACACATATGCTCATGGTTTCACAAAGAATATTTGAGCTGGGAGGGAGCTTAGAAGGTTACCAAGTTCAACCTCTCTTTTCAAAGCCAAGGGAAGGAGGTTCCTTGATAATTACCACTAATCCTTTAGGTCTACTTAGCAAAGGATTGAAGAAGTATCTGTGTGCTTAGATTATTTCTGTGGGACAAAGGATGCACCCAGCCAGTAGTACGATGAATTTGTATTAAACTATCCAGAGTCACTTAGTTCATTATGTGAACAAAGGCAGACATTTGCAAGATGGCTATCTTGGTTTTGAGGTGCTTTTCCTAGCCATCATTCAGAATAATGCTACATGGGGATAATAAACCTAACCTTGGCCTCAATTTTAGTGTGAACTATTCAAGTGATCTAACCAGCCAAAGACCATTAAATAGGATACTTAAGTATATGAGGGGTCTGATCAGGAAATTTCTGATTGGGTCCTCCTATCCACAGAACCTGGACCTTTGTCATAAATTGGCATTTCCCATTGAGATAGACATATATTGTTGCTGCAGACATATCCTGGTAAATGTTTAACAGTTGGCTGACTTTTGAGTTTAATATATACTATTAACATTTTCTTTATTCTTTCTTAATTTTAGACAACCAACAATACATCAAGCTCTGATTTACCATTTTGACCATTTCACCATTCACCAATTTAAGAGGTGTCAATGCTCACACTGAAAATTTAAGAATTGGCAGAGCTGGTGTGAGCATAACTCTGATTATAGCTCAGCACTGATAGACATGCACTTTGGGAAGGACAGTCACTTTAGAATGATGTGTCAGTTCCTGATTAGCCCCTGTATTTCCCCATGACTGAGAGGAGAGAGAGTAATTATTGAAGTTGATTCAAGACTGATCCAAATCAGGGAAACTACATTTTGCTAAACAATAAT